GGAGATTTGTGCTGGATAATGAGAGGAGCTTGAGAATATCTCCCTTCAGTGATACTTAGAGCTTTAGATGCTAAGTTCCCACAGAGGAAAGGGTCTAGGTTAAGGTTAGGTTGATACTTAGAGCTTCAGACACCAAGTTCCCAAGAGAAAAGGGTGAAGGTCAAGGCAAGGTTGTTTGTGGATAGTTAGAGCAGCATGTTTACTGTGGACTCCATGGGCTCAGGATTTGAGCACCTACTGTCCAGTGAGTAGTTTATGAAATCTTTGGGACACAGTGTCTAGCTGGTAGACACAGGCCACTGGAGGTGGACATTTGAAGGTTATAGCCTGGTCTCATTTCCAGCTATGATCCTAGTTTCCTGATCCAGCAAGACCTGAACAAGATCCTTCAAAATCTCCTAATGCACAGTCCTTCACGTGAATCCTCAACTTCAGGCATGAGCTTGTGATGGGCAACACAGGTTAACCTTGGCTGGTTGGCTTCTAAGAAAGGAGATTCTCATATCTAAGCAAGTCTACAAGGGCAAGTGACTTGTTCAGTTCATAGATGTTGCAGGAAACTGAAACAGAGGAGGGACTTAGCCTAAAGCTGGACTTTACAGCCACTATTGGAAGCCTTCCTTATTTTGTGTGTGGAAACAGAGTTTCCCTGTGCATCCCTGGCTGTCCAGGAATTCTCCATGTAGACCAGGCTGGCCTTGTACTGAGAGATCTTCCTGCCTCTGCCTCCTGACCTCCTGCAGCCCCTGTAACATCTCAAAAACCAAGTTTTCATTGAATACTTGTTAGAATGGTCAAATCCAGAGTAGTGGCAGCTGTGCACACTGGGAAGGATGTGGAGAGGTGGGAATGTGTTCATGGGCCGTGGAGGGTCAGTGTGGTGTGGCAGCTGCAGGTGTAGTGTGGCTCTATCTGACAAAGCAGGCTTTTTTTTTTTTTAAATAAGACCTAGCTATCTTGATCCTTGCTATCAGCTCAAGAGAATTGAGAAGCTGTGTCCACAAAAAAACCAAACCAAACCAAACCAAACCCAAAACCCAAAAAAACCTAAACAACAACAACAAAAACTGCTCATGGACTTGGAGAAAAACGTACATTGCAAAGTGAAATAAGCCAGTCTCAAAGAACCACGTTTGTTCTGAATTAACTGCTAGATATCCATTGGGGCTGTAGCTTGGAATAGAGTGCTTGCATATTATGTGTGGAACCTTGGGTTCTGTGACAGTTAGCCTACCTGGTGGCTTTTAGTAATACCATGAAATCACACCTCTGGGTGTGTGTATGGAGCGCAGTTCTCAACCCATGGGCCTTGCTGTTTTTGGTGGTGTCAAAGATCCTTTCAAATGGGCCATATCTCAGAAATTCTGCATATCAGATATTTAGATCCATAAGAGTAGCAAAATTACAGTTATTGAATAGCAAAGAAAAAACTGTGTGTGTGTGTGTGTGTGTGTGTGTGTGTGTGTGTGTGTGTGTGTGACCACAACATGAGAAAGTGTCTTAAAGGGACAATTGACAGCTACTGCTCTAAGGGTATTTCCAGATGGGTTTAGCAGAGGAGGAAGGATTTGCCCTGAATGTTGGTGGCTGTGTTTCCTATTCTGAATAAAAAGAAGAAAACAGTCTAGACACTAACATTGATCTCTCTATGCTTCTTGACTGGCAAATATGTGAGCTGCTGCCTCATGATCCTGATGGCCATTTGTTTCTTGGAGTTTTGACTTACAATAAACCCCCCCTTCCTTAAATTGCCTGTACTAGGTATTTTGTCATAATAATGAGAAAAATTACTCGCACAGTTCTGATGGGAGATGTCATTCTGTAAATATGTTTCTCATAGTGGTTAATGAATAAAGCACTGTTGGCCAATAGGAAAGCAAGATAGGCGGGACTAGGAGACAAGGAGGAAAGAGGAAGGAGTAAGGAGGGGTCAAGATGGAGAGATGGAGAGAGCAGAATGCCGGCGGCCTCTCTCTCCGGTAAGGTAAGAGAAACATGTGGAAATACATAGATTAACAGAAATGGGTTAATACTTAAGACAGAGCTAGCCGATAAGAAACTAGTACCTGGCCAACAGCATTATATCAAATACAGAGTCTCTGTGTATTATTTGTGGCTGGCGCGGTGGCGGGACAAGACCGGCGGGGGCAGAAAAACCATACTCCTTACATAGTTCCTCCTCCAGAAACATGTACACATCAGAGTAAGAGACAGACAGAAAGATACACAGAGAGAAATGAATGTGTTACAGATGGTTTAGGGGGTCACAAGACATTTACCCAATCCACAGGGGTCACAACACAGTATGAACTATAGATACTGAGTGACAGCAGTGTGTCCCTGTAGCTTTATCACAAAGTGCACTCATCAGGTAGAGCAGAGCAGGGCAGGGAGGACACCAGAAACTCTCTTCCCCTTGTGGTCCATTTTTCTGTGAACCTCAAGTTTCCACTGAAATGCATTTTTACAAATCTGAGTTCGGTGTCTGGCAGCGGGCATCAGCCTGGCAGGTGTGCTGTGTGAAACTGCAGGCCTTGCTCATTGTACGGGAAATTTCTCAACGTGGGAAGGTCGGCGGAGAGGAGAGTGAAGCTCAGGGAAGCAAGCGGGTGCTTATGTCCCTCTGAGGAAAACACACCAGACTTCCCGGCCCTCAGCGTCAACCCCTATACCTTTCCTGTTAGTTCAGGCCTCAGGAATACAATGTCTAGAGCCAGTCCTAATAAAGGCAGTGCTAGTTGGAGCCTCCGTGTGGGGGTGACTGGACCCTGTGCATGTAGACCACCTGCTTGCTTCTCCACTTAGGTGGGGTTGTGGGTGAAGAGGGACAACAAAGCTCAGGCGAGTGCTCTCTCATTACCAGGCTTATGGGCTAAGGGCTGGAGGACTGGGTCCATATCTGGGAGGTGTAAACAAGAGCGGATTGTGGCTGAGGTGGGGGAGAAGTGCATCCTGTTGCCCCTCAAGCCTGTGTCTGGTTCAGTATACCTGACACACTAAAACCCTTCCCCTAACACTTAGAATCTGCTCTCCTGTCTTAACACAGAGATCCCACTGGGGATGGTTAAAAGGAAAAGCTTTTGTAGGGACTTCCCCTGAACCTGTGGTTTGAGATGAGTGTGCATAACCAGAGAAGGCACATGCCCACTTGGTGCAGGGAGCTCATAGGTCTGTGGGCTCAACAGGTCAGGAGAAGAAGGGTCCCACAGCCACATGTCTAAAACCTCAGTCACATTCAATGCTGAGACAGGTATACACTTGACTCATTATCGAGTCCTGTAGAAGGTGCCTTATTGGTGCTGGCAGTCCTGGGACCCCACAGCTCCTCAGCTGTAAGTTATTCCTCTGTGTACAGAAAGGGAAAAAAGCAGCTCTTCACCAGACCCATGTTTCCTTTGATTTCTAAACCTCAGGAGCAGTCAGGAAGGGGATGTTTCTGAATCATGTATGAGCATCCTCAGAGCAGCCACAGTTCAGGCTGACCACAGGTGAAAACTCAATGCTCTTACACGTTCAGATGGACATGATCATGTGATGTTCAGTGTTATCTTCCAGAGAGAATCTACATCACCTAGGAGAGGAGCCTCTGGACATGGCTGTGAGGAATTACCCTTATTTTGTCCATTGAGGTGGGTAGAGCCATCCCCTGTGTCTCTTTTCCCTGGATGGGATCCTGGACTGTAGAAGCAGACAATGAGCTGAGTAGCATCAAGCGTCCATCACACTCTGCTTTCCGATTGTGCATGTGACCAGGCACCCCAATCTCCTGCCACTGTGACTTGCTTACCGTGATGGATTGCACCTGTGGGATTAAAATAAATCCCATCTCCATTAAGTTCCATTGGCTGCTGAGGCATGCCGTCACAAGAAGAGAACAAATAGGCAGGGTGCTTACATCCTCCTTCTTATGTCCAGTTATTGTTAGTAAAATGTGAACAGAGCTATTTGTACTACTTTCCAGCTGGTGGCTTCATTCCAAACTGAATCTTGAGTGAACTGTCATGAATGCAGTAATTTAAGATAAGAAAACTTTATTGACTTCAGTTTGGGAGGTCAGAATCCTAACTCACATGTCTTGTGGAGGATCCAATATAGAGTCTCCTTCCTTTAATATCTTTATTCTAGTGTCTTCAGTGGAATATCAAAAATATTTAATTTAGAAGAATTATGTGTGCATGTGTATTTATACCACGTGTGCACAGATGCCTGTGGAGATCAACAGAGAATGTTGAATCTTTTAAAAATGGCATCTGTTGCTGGATAGATGGCTCAATGGTTTAGAGCACTGGCTGCTTTTACAGAGGATCTGGGTTGAATTCCCCACATCTGCCTGGCAGCTCACAACTGTCTGCAACTCCATTTCCAGGGGATCATAGATCCTCACACAGACACACAGGCAGGTGAGACACCAATGTACATTCACTAAAAATAAATCTTAAAAAATATCTGGGTCATTGAGATGGCTCAGTGGGTGAAGATATTTGCTTACAAGCCTAAAAACCCAAGTTCAATTTCTAGAGCCAACATATGAGAAGGAAAGAATCAACTTTGGCAAGTTGTCCTCTGACTGCTACACCCTCTGTGACACACACACACACACACACACACACACACACACACACACACACACACACTCACCACACACCAATATTATTTAACAGTAAAAGCAATTATTTATAACAGACCACATTTATCTGTGAGTATCTGCTTTGGATCTTATAAAGATTATAACATCAGCTGGGCATTGGTGGCGCACGCCTTTAATCCCAGCCCTTGGGAGGCAGAGGCAGGCGAATCTCTGTGAGTTCCAGTCCAGCTGGTCTACAGAGCGAGTTCCAGGACAGACTCCAAAGCTACACAGAAACCCTGTCTCAAAATACGAAAAAAAAAAAAAAATCGTAACATCAAACCTCTTCCTCTTCAAGAGAGGAAGAAACTGATATAGAAACCTTGTGACGAGCCCTAGCCCACAGATCCTGCCTATTGTGTCGGCTGTGGGGCTTCAGCTCCAGACCTGCTCAGGCTCCTAGAGCCTGAATCATGTCACTTTGTTTTGCCACCATGCTGGCCCTAGGTGAGTTCTGGGAGAAATGGAGAGAGGGGCAGGTGATTTGGGGGAGGAGATCTATTCCCCACTCAGGCCCGAAAGCAGCCAAGCAGATTCTGGAGACGCTGGGAGGAGATTCTCTCCACCCCATCTCCTAAGTGGAGACTTATTGCTAGAAACAGGGATGGGGCCTGTGGCCAAATTCAGCCTTAAAATGCGTTAGGAAGAGCCCGTTTGGAAGGGGAAGATGACCTGGGGACATTTGTTTTTCCCAGTGTTGGAGGTTGAACTAAGGGCTGAATGCGGGTTAGGTAAACACTATACCAGTATTCTGTAAATCCAAGCCCTCTTTTTATTTTTTAAGATCCCAGCTGTTAGTTGGTATATTGAATAGCTTTGTTCAGCGATTGTTCACTTTATTATTATTATTATCATTTTTCTTATATTACATATCAATACCGTACCCTCTCCCTCCCATCCTCCCACCCTCCCATGCCTCCTAACTCCCCTCCCATCCCCACTCCAGCCCCCACTCCACAGGGAGGATGAGGCCTTCCAGGAGGGATCATCAAAATCTGTCAAGTCAGGAAGCCCCTCCCTCCTGTCTCTCGGAAGGGAGTATCCCTCCATGGGGAATGTGCTCCCAAAGTCCTTTTGTGAACTAGGGATACATCCTGGTTCCACTGTCAGAGGTTCCCTTAGACTGCCCAGGCCTTCTAACTGGGACCCATGTTCAGGGAGTTTGAGTTGGTATAATGCTTGGATCCCAGCTATCAGTCTGGGGGTCCGTTAGCTTCTCCTTGTTCAGGTCAGCTGTCTTTGTGGTTTTCTGTGGTCTTGACCCCTTTTCTTATCCCTCATCCCTCTCTGCAACTGGATTCCAGGAGTTTGGCCCAGGGTTTAGCTGTGGGTGTCTGCTTCTGCTTCATCAACTACTAGATGAAGGCTCCAGGATGGCATATAAATTAGTTGTCAATCTCATTATCAGGGAAGGGCATTAATTGCCTTAATGGTAGCCTCTCCACTATTTCTCAAATTGTTAATTGGGGTCATTCTTGTAGGTCTCTGGACATTTCTCTAGAGTCAGTTTTCTCTTCAAACCTATAATGGCTCCCTCTATTATGTTCTCTCTTTTCTTGCTCTCCTCTATTCATCCCCTGACTCAATCTTCCTGTTCCCACATATTCTCCTCTCCCCTTCTCTCCTCCCGTTTTCTTATTCCTTGCTCCCTCTTCACTCACTCCCCCTCCCCCTACTCCCAATATGCTCAGGAGATCTTGTTCCTTTCTCCTTCTGTGAGGGACCTTGTATGCCTCTCTTAGGTTCCTCCTTGTACCCTTGTTTCTCTGTCGGTGTGAATTGTAGGCTGAGATCCTTTGCTCTATGTCCGAAATCCATATATGAGTGAGTACATACCATGTTCATCTTTTTGTGATTGGGTTACCTCACTCAGGACTCAAGGTCCATCCATTTGCCTGTGAATTTCAAGATTCCATTTTTTTTTTGTTCTGCTGAGTAGTAATCCATTGTGTAAAGCCATGTCTTTTTTTTTTTAATCCATTCTTCACTTGAGGGGCATCTAGGTTGCTTCCAGTTCTTGCTATTACAAATAATCCTGCTATGAACATAATGGAACAGATGTCTTTGTTGCATGGATGCGGATCATTTGAGTATATGCCTAAGAGTGGAATTGCTGGGTACTGTGGTAAACTGATTCCCATTTTCCTAAGGAACCACCATACTGATCTCCAAAATGGCTGTACAAATTTGCACTCCCACCAGCAGTGGAGGAGTGTTCCCCTTTCTCCACATCCTCTCCAGCATAAGCTGTCATTGGTGTTTCTGATTTTAGCCATTCTGACAGGAGTAAGATGCCATCTCAGAGTTGTTTGATTTGCATTTCCCTGATGACTAAGGATGTTGAGCACTTTCTTAAGTGTCTTTCAGCCATTTTAGATTCCTCTGTTGAGAATTCTCTATTTAGTTCCGTACCCTACTTTTTAATAGGATTATTTGGTGTTTTGGAAAATAGCTTCTTGAATTCTTTGTATATTTTAGATATCAACCCTCTCTCTGTCAGATGTGGGGTTGATGAAGATCTTTTACCATTCTGTAGGCTGATCTTTGGTCTTGTCCAGAGAGAGACCCTTCACATTATACTTTGAAAACCTTTACTTCACAAATTTTGAAAATTTAATGGAAGTGGACAAATAGATCCCTATCTCCTATAACCCCTAATGAAATAGAAGCAGTCATCAAAAGCCTTCTAACAAAAAAAAAAAAAAAAAAAAAGCCTAGAGCCTGATGGCTTCAATGCAGAATTCTTCGAGAAATTCAAAGGAGAGCTAATACCAATACTCCTCAAATTGTTCCACACAATAGAAGCAGAAGGTTCATTACCAAACTCTTTTTATGAGCCAAAATTACCTTGATACCCAAGCCACACAAAGACACAACTAAAAAAGAACTACAGACCACTATTCCTCATGAACATTGATGCAAAAATACTCAATAAAATACTGGCAAATTCAACCCAACAACACATTAGAGAAATTATCCTCCATGACCAAGTAGGCTTCATCCTAGGGAGGCAGGGATGGTTCAACATATGAAAAAATAGTGATCCACCATATAAACAAACAAAAAAAAACCCCACATGATTATCTCCCTAGATGCTGAAAAAGCCTTCGACAAAATTCAACACCCTTTCCTGATAAAGGTCTTGGAGAGATCAGGGAATAACAGGAACATACCTAAACATAATCAAAGTAATATACTGTAAACCAACAGCCAGCATCACACTAAATGGAGAGAAGCTTAAGGCGATTCCTCTGAAATCAGGAACAAGACAAGGCTGTCCTCTCTCTCCATATCTCTTTAATATTGTACTTGAAGTTCTAGCTAGAGCAAGAAGACAACAAAAGGAGATCAGGGGGATCCAAATTGGAAAGGAAAAAGTCAAACTGTCTCTATTTGCAGATGATATGATAGTTTACATAAGTGACCCGAAAAACTCTACCAGGGAACTCCTACAGGGAACACACCTTCAGCAAAGTGGAAGGATACAAGATGAACTAAAAAAATAATGAGTAGTCTTACTATATACAGACGCTAAATGGGCTAAGAAAGAAATCAGAAATAGCCACAAACAACATAAAATATCTTGGGGTAACACTAACCAAACAGGTGAAAGAGATATATAGCAAGAACTTTGTGTCTTTAAAGAAAGAAATTAAAGAAGATACCAGAAAGTGGAAAGATCTTCCATGGTCTTGGATACATAGGATCAACATAATAAAAATGGTAATCTTGCCAAAAGCAATCTAGAGATTCAATGCAATCCCCATCAAAATCCCAGCACAATTCTTCTTTATCTTGAAAGGATAATACTCAACTTTATATGGAAAACAAATGACACAGGATAGACAAAACACATTCAGCAAATTAACAGGATGCAAGATTATATCTTGTATATAATTATACCTGTATATAGCCCTACTATATACAGATGATAAAGGGACTGAGAAAGAAATCAGAGAAAAATCATCTTTTACAATAGCTACAATGGAAGGAGGAAAACATCTTCAACAAATGGTGCTGGCATAATTGCATGATGGTGTCTAGAAGGCTGCAGATAGACCCCTGTCTATTGACGTGCACAAAATTTAAGTCCAAATGGATCAGACCTCAACATAAATCCAGCCACACTGAACCTCTTAGAAGAGGAAGTGGGAGGTTCCCTTGAATGAATTGGTACACGACAGCGCACCCTGACCATAACACCAGTAGCACAGAGATTGTTTTCTTTAACAAACCCTTTTATTAGTCTTTGAGTTCTTCTTACACGATTCACTCAACTCCTTAATGATAAGCCTTCTTCCAGACCCACTCAACTTTATGTCCATATTTATTTTTATTTTATTTACTTATTGTGTGTGTGTGTGTGTGTGTGTGTGTGTGTGTGTGTGTGTGTGTTTGAGACAAGGTTTCTCTGTGAAAAAGTCATGGCTGTCCTGGTTCTCTCTTTATAGACAGGGTTGGCCTTGAACATTGAGATCCGCTTGCCTGTGCCTCCCAAGTGCTGGGAGTAACTTGTGCACCACCACTGCCCAGCTCCTTTGTGTCCATTTTTAAATAGTCCTTTAAGACCAATTGGTGCTGTCCAAATATTCTTGTGTTCAGTGCAGCACTGGAGCATGGTTGAGTTAACAGGGGCTACACTTTTAAATTTAATTTTCTTATTATTTTTTTGTTATTTTAGAGGCAGTGTCTTACTATGTATGTAGCTCTGGCTGTCCTGGAACTCACTATGTAGATTTCACTCAAAGAGCTCCACCTGCCTCCTAAATGCTGAGACTAAAGGTGTGCCTCAGTACACCCCATTCTTGGGGCTACAATCTTAAAGAAAACTGCCTCTCCCTCTTCCAGAAGCTGGCAATTGCAATTAGCTCAAAATTTAGCTCAAACGCTAAAGCAGCGACTATGCCCAAATTTCTATTTAGTTCTGGTATTTTGTCTGGCTTGGGCTTGCACGGGTTTTGTGCATGTTGTTACAACTGCTTTGAGTTCATATGTGCAGCTGCCCTGCTGGGCTCAGGATACACTGTAGTCCCTGAAATCATCTACTGCCCCTGGCTTTTATGTTTTTCCCACCCCCTCTTCCTCAGTGATCTCTGAGACTCAGGAGGAGGAGATGTAGGGTAGGCGTGTCCCCTTTAAGGCTGGGCATTCTGCAGGCTCATATTCTCTACCCATTGATCAGTGATGGGTCTCTATGTTAATCTCCATCGACTGCAAATAGAGGTTTCTCAGATGATGGAGGGGTGGGGGATGCATTGTCCTGTGGACATACTGATAAATACATTCTTTATTGTCTTTTGAGAATTTCACAGATGCATGCAATATGATTTTATCACATTCTTCCCCAATCTTGCCTGTAATTCCGTACCCATCTCTCCTTCCCCCTATTTTGTGTCTCCTTCTTTAAAAAAAATAATCCAATGAATATTTTTTTTGTGCTGTCTGTATACTCAAGGGTGTTGGTCTGTCTGCTGGATTCTGGTCAACCTACCGTAGGCCACACCATAAGAGAAAATTCTCCCTTCCCCAGAAGCCACCAACTGCAAATACCTCTTCATCTTGGGTGTGGGGACCTTGTGAACCCCTTTCTTCTCCTTGCCACCCTTCAATTTACATTTTTTTCTATTTTTAAATTAATGCTTCTCTTATATAATACATCCTGACAGCAAAGTCACCTTCCTCCATCCTCCCCAGTTCCCCCATCCACCTCCCATCTCCCCCAGATCCACCACAACTCCAGTATCTTTTCAGAGCAGTTCTCACAGGGATGTCCATCGAATATGGCATGACAAGATGCAGTAAGACCAGGAACAAACCCTCACATCAAGGCTGAGCAAGGCAACCCAGTAGGAGGGAAAAGTACCAAGGGCAGACAAAGCAGTCAGAGACACACCTGCTTCCACTGTTAGGAGCCCCACAAAAACCCCAAGATAAGCAACCATGACATATATGCAGAGGCTCTAGCACAGACCCATGCTTGTTCTGAGACTGCTGCTTTGGTCTCTGTGAGCCCCATGAAACCTGCTTAGTTGATTCTGTGGGCAGTGTTCTACTGGTGTCCTCAACCCCCTCTGGCTCCTACAGCGTTTCCTCTTCCTCCTCCTCGTGGTTCTCTGAGCTCCGTTTCATGTTGGGCTGTGGTCTGTGGGTCTCTGTAGTTGCTCCTGTCATCTGCCGGAGGAAGCCTGTCTGATGACGACTGGGCTAGGCTCTGAACTAACTCCGTTTTAGTTTTGGTTTTGAGACATGGTCTCTCTAAGATGCTCGGGCTGACTTTGAACTCACGTTGTAGCCCAGGTAATACCTGAACGTGTGACCCAGTTGAGCAGCTGGGATTTCGAGTCTGTGTCTCTGCCTCTGGTCTTGGGGTTGGTTATTTTAGGAGCCCTTTTAGAGCTAGAAGGAGGATTGTCCTCTGCCTTTAATGTGGAAGATGGATGGCTGGGTGATGATGGGAGGAGGGATGTCTCCACCTACATCTGGTCCTCCCTAGATTCTCATCTCTAAGCAAACCGTGTGGTGAGTGTCTTTCTCATTGTGTCTTCTCTTTCAGCGCTGTGCCTGGGACAGAGAGTTAACACGGAGGGAGGTGAGTCATGTGTTTGGCTGCTTCTGCACCCATGGGCAGCTTTGGAGAGACTCGTGTGCACCTGGGCGGCCTGGAGAGAGACCCTTCAATATTGCCTTTAATATTCCTCCCACATGTGCAGCCTTCAGCTCTCTTCCTTTTCCCACCTGTCTTCTTTTGTTGTCTTGGTTAAAAATGTTTTTAATTGACAAATAACAGCTGTATGTATTTGTGAGATGCAGCTTGCTGTTTTGAGGTGTGTTTACACTATGCTACAATTAAGCTAGGCTAAGTTGCATGTCTGTCTTGTTTGACACTCAGCATTTTTTATTGGTGAGAGTTCCATGGTTGGAATTTTCAAAGAAACTGTCATGCACGGTATATCTCAAGACATGCGATTCTCCTGCCTGGATGGAATTTCGAATCTTTGATGATCGTCTTCCCTGTCCACATCCGCCCTCTCCCTAGTCTCAGGCAGTCCATCATTCTTCTCTCATTCTGTTTGTCTCTGAGGTGAATGCATTTGCATTCCATATATAACTGAGATCCTGTGGTGTTTGTCATTCTGTCACTGGCCTACTTCACCAAACACCCCCAGGTTCATTCTGGTTGCCACCTACAGCAGCATTTCCTTTCTGAAGGGTGACCACTATTCTAACGTGTTTGTGCACCGCATTTATTTTGTCTGTTGATGTACGGACTGACAGTTCCATCCTTTCTCTCTCTTCTCTACTTGGATCATGCTGGGAGGAAGGTGGAGATGAGACAACTCTATGCCAGGCTGTCTGCAAAGACAGCTCCACGACCAAGCCTATAGCTGATGATGCCCCCCCCCCCCACATTCCAGATCTCTCTTAGGAGCCCCTAGTAAGGTCTTAATAGTCTCACAGGCAGAACAGGAGGATTCCTCCTTGATATCACCTCTCCATCTCCCTATGTACAATTTGTCTCTAGGTCCTGTCCATTCCTCCCACTAAATCTGTAAGTCAGTTAGTTTAATTAGTTAGTTTTGATAGAGATTTTCAGTATGTACCTATGACTGGCCTGGGAATCACTCTGTAGAACAGGCTGGTTTAGGACACACAGAGATGAACCTGCTTCTGCCTTCCAAGGGTTGGGATTACATGCATGCAACACCACACACGGCCTCAAGTCCCTCTCTTTCTGCATAAATGTCTGCTAAGTTATTTCTAAGCTCCTTCCCTCCTCACTCATTGGTCCCTTCCCTCATGTCAGCTAAGCTTGCATGTAGCCTTTTACCCTTTTTGACACACCACGAAGGTTGTTCCCCCGCTATGCAGAAGCACAAATACCATCTTTTTTTTATTTGTCTTTTATTCCAGAGGCTTCGCATATTTCTTTGAACAGAGTCTTTTGCAGTCCTATGAACTAGCCATCATTTACCACCTCTCTTTATAAGTTTTAAAAATTATTTTTTTGGTTAAAGTATAATTACATCATTTCTCCTATCTCTATACTCATTCTACCCCTTTCTATATCCATGCTTTCCATGATCCCTCTCAAATGCATTGCCTTTTTTCTTTATTATTGTTACATATATTCAAATAAATATATAAATACAACTTGCCGTGTAGTGGTTAGTGTTGCACACACACACACACACACACACACACACACACACACACACACGCTCTCATAGGTAATTATTGGTATTGGATAACCAATTAAGGGGCTCATCCCCGGGGAATACTAATTCTCCCTCTCTCAGCAGTCAATAAACTCTTGTAGGTCTTCATCGAGGCATGGGGCCGCTGTAAGATTTCCCTCATCCAAGTTCAAATGTCAACTGGTGTTGTCTTTGTTCAGGACATGTCTAGGCAGCCGTTTTGTCAATGTGTCATGGGTGTAGCTCCCCAGCTGTATTGGGAAGATAAGATGTCATTGCAGACTTCCCTGTCTTTTGGCTTTTAGAGCCTTCTTCCTCCGTCTTCTATGATGTTCCTGGGCCTTAGTTAAGGAAATGTGGTCTAGATGTATCCACTGGGACTAGGCCCTCATTATCAGTTGTTATCTGCATTTTGACCAGTGCAGGCTTTCTGTAATGGTCTCCAGGTGCTGCAAAAAGACACTTCTTCGATGAGGGCTGAGAGCCCATTTACTAGTCAGAGGCTTGAACACTGGATGAGCAAGTCAGGCTGGGCCTGAGGTGGGATGTGGCTCCGTCTCCATAGTGTGTTTTGACACAGAATCAGACCATTGTGTTTTCTGTAGATGGTGACTCTGACGTACCCCACCTACTTCCTGATCCCCCTGTCCTTGAGAACTTGTTTAGAGGTTCGTTATATCAGGGAAGTGCAGATACTCATATACCCTTGACCAAAGACTGGTCCTCCTCTGTTCAGTGAGCAGCAGCAGCTTCAGGAAAGACTTACTTGGAATGGTGAGGGAGGAAGGGCACACTCACCTAGCCAGCCAGATCAGCTGTCAACCCTGTCTATCAATGAGTGGCAGATGTCACAGCCAGATCACCCTTACACCCTGATCCCCTTGTCCTATCAGGCTTGCTTGTCACTAGGTTCTTCAACATCTTTCCATTTCCCTCAAACACTCCAGCCACCCACCCCACAGTCTGGGTTATCTCACAGGATGAATTTCAATTTAGTTTTTAAAATGACAAAAATTGCATTTTGTGTTTACCATATCTGATTTCATGCTCTGCAATGAATAGATATTAGAGAATGACCAAACCAAGTCAGTTAGCATATGGTTTCTCCCGCACACATCTCTTTGTGGACAGCACTTGAATCCAGCTCTTGATGGACCAGAGGCCTGGTGTGAATCATCCCTGGCATATCCCACAGCTGAGCCCTTGAGCTACTTCTCCTTGGGTAGCACAGGGCCTGTGTCCTCTGAGTGGCTCTTTACACGGTGTTTTATTGATGTTTGCTTCTCTGTGCCCCTGTCTGCTAGGTGCAGCGAGTTTATGTCTCTTGGGTGTCAGGGCAGGTACCTCTCCCCTGTCATTTCAGGGGGTACACCTCTGATCTCACCTTCCTTGAGACTCCTATGCTCACCCCTCACCTTCACTGAAGGTGAAGACTTTATGACACAGTATTGGACTGTTACTTTTTTTTCTTCTGCATCTGTCTTTCCTCCCGTGATTTAGTTTCTAATGGAAGAAATTGTGTTCCTTGTATAAGTGAAGACATTGAAACACAGAGAACAACCCCCAAATGATGACTAAGATATTAGTAATGTTTGAAAGAATAAGTGAAGGAAGGAGAGCAGATTAGGAAATGTTGGTCTAAGGGCAGAAAGTTTCATTTACACATGGCTAAGGGCAGAAGGTCAATTATGCAGCACAGCTAGCAACTATGCATTTGTAAGCTTAGGAATTGCTGAGAGGGGGTGATGGATGTTCTCCTTACACAAAGGTAAGTTTGTGGGTTTATATACATTGATTAGCTTGATCCAGCTCTTCCACAAGGAGCACCATAACATCCCCCCCCCAACACAGTAAATGTGAGCATTTTAAGTTTGTTTCTTGGTGTAGTATCCTTATCTGTGATGGTATGGGAATGCTCCTACTTTCAGGTTTGGAGCAGGTGGGCTTTTAAAACCCCAATATCACACTCTACAGAATGTGGAGAGAGAGGTAGAAAGTGTAGAGGTCCCTGGAAGGAGGCAGTTCCCTGAGGTGTCCAGCCTGGGATGTTCTGAGATTTCCTTGGATGGAGCTTTGCCAGACCTAACATATGCTTGGGCTTACATTCCTTATTATCATGTGATGTGAATTGAAATGCACACAGAGAGTGAGGGTTTTGTAAACCTGCACTTTGATCATGTGTGGAGAACTCTAAACTTGGTAAGACTATAGAATTCTGTGCCTAAATTGATTTTGCATTGTGGCAATGTCCTGCCTGTGTACACTGAGAATTCCTGCTCTGCTCTCTCCTAGGATCTGTACGGAGGCCTTCCATCTCTGCTGAGCCAGGCCGTGTCATCTCCCAAGGGCGTTTTGTAACCATTGTGTGCTCAAACCCTAGTGGGTATGATTTGTTCCGCCTGGAGAAAAAAGACCTACCAGTCGTGGAAAATGTGAACACTTCCCACTCTGTGACAGAGGCTCGATTCCGCCTTGGCCCAGTGAATGAAAACACAGCTGGACCATATACCTGTATCTATTGGAAAGGGTCTATCTGGTCCCCACGCAGTGAGACCCTGGAGCTGATAGTAACTAGAGAAGTTGTCACCCAGGCTCCTGAGCCAGGCCCAGCAGTGACCTCAGGTTTGTTCCCAGGTCCCTGGACTCTAACCCCAGCAGTTCTCACCCGCCCTGCGCTCCTTTCCCCCACCTGCCTCAGCACAGGTGGGTCCCCTCTTCCCTCAAACCCAGATTTCTGGAGCTTCATTAACCAGACCCCATGGATGACGTGGATACAGTCTGGTGGGCTGGACCCTGCGTTATTCCTGATTTTGGGTAGGGACTGATCCCGAGCAATGGTGGGTGCAGACTCCTTCAGGGGATGCATGTGTTTTCACTGGGCATGGTGATTTATCCTGTCCTTCCATTGAGTCTGAGCCTGTGGTGATTGCAGGAATATATCTCCTCCGGCGTGGCACCATCTCCCTAAGCAGGTCATATGGTCCCCGGAGGGCCGGGGAGCAGGCCTGGGCTAGTCTTTTGGGGGTGCTTTCATATTGGCTGCATGTGATCAGGTCCCAGGTTGTACCGGAGTCAGGGTACAAACAGAAGTTCTAGTCCACTTCCGTGTCTTCCCACATCTTCCTGGGAGCTTCTCAGTGTTTATTCTGTGCGTGCGCCCAAGCGGGAGCGGGCGAGGGGAGGAAGAGAAGGAAGGACCAGTATTCAGCAGCAGGGATTTAGGAGGGGCGCTGCCATGCTTTCTGTTTCCCCTGCCCTGTCACCTCAGATCATCTGACGGCCTATGCCTGAGTGGTGGGCACACCACTCACACCACACACACAGGGATCGATACTTAGGATGGAGAAGGGGTCTACATAGGTCTCTTCATAAGCCCAGCCTCGACGCCGGTGTTGTAGTTCATTACGGGTTATATGCTGGGTGGATATCCTGACTAGCCTCCTGCTTAGCTTTGAAGCCAGTCTTCGTCTTCTCCTTCTCTTCCTCCTCCTCCTTGTCCTCCTCCTCTTTCTCCTTCCTCCTCCTCCTTTGCCTTCTTCTTCCTCTCCTTCTTGTATTTTTGACATAAGGTTGTAACATGAAAAATAAAAATCCAGAGTCCCAGATTGGGGCTCAAACTTCAAGCTGAAGAAGATCAGAGAAGTAAAATAGCGAAGCTGAAATGGCGATTCCATCTCCACGAATCCTCAGAGGCCAAAGCTCTGAATTCCTGTTCCCTCCTCCTTATACTCCCGTCTCTGTCCAGCTGTACTCTCTCTTGTCTCCACCTCCCTAGTGTGGGGATTAAAGGTGTGATCACAAGTGCTGTGATCACAGGCATGAGCTCTGTTACTGTTCACTCTTGAGCAGGCCAGGGTGGCCTTGAACTCACAGAGATACAGCTATCTCCTGAGTCCTGAAATTAAAGGTGTGTGCCACCACTGCCTAGCTTCTACAGTTAACAGGTGTGGCTGGTTTTGTTTTTGTGATACTTCAGGCAATCTTTAATTAAATCATAATTAATATATCACTCCATGAAATCTCTCTATATGAAGCTCTGGATGTCATGTAACTTGCTTTATAGATGAGGTTGGCCTAAATTCACAGTTTCACCTGCCTCTGCCTCCTTAGGGTTGGGATTAAAGACCTGGCTGCCTTCTTCTCTGGTAGGCTCCTACAAAAAAACAAACCATTTCCATCTTGCCTAGTTCTGCAGAAACCTCAGGAGGAAAAATGATCATTCAGTGTGGTTCCTCGATGGGGTATGATAGGTTTATTTTGACTGAGGAAGAAGAACACTAGCTTTCTAGGATGATCCATGCAAAGCATGTACCCAATGGGCAATTCCAGGCCCTGTTCCTTGTGGGTCCTGTGACATTTGGCCAGAAATGGATGTGAGGATGCTATGACAATTACAAGAATAACTCATGTGTGGTCATTATCCAGTGACCCTTTGAAGCTCCTGCTATCTGGTGAGGAAGTTTCATCATCTCAATTTTTTTTGAGGTTTCCCCTCTTGAGGTTCCCAAGTCTTCCTTTCAGGGTGACTAAAATTGGATGAGGCTAAGAGAAACTTGGGTCCCCTGATCCAGATGCAGACTTAATTTGTGAGTCAGTGACACCTTCAGGGATGGATAAGAAGAAGCCAAGCATCCCCCGTGCCCCTTTGCTGCCCATGTTTTCTCTGGCAATGTTCAGTAAGCCTTCCCTGGTGACACATTAGGGTCTGTACCCTGGAGAGACCTCAACCCCACAGAGACACCTTGACACCAGGTATACTCTGTTTAAGGAGGGGGAATTGTCCTGACTCACCCTCAGGACCTGTGATAATTCTCTTGGGGGTTGGTATAGATGCTGTGGCGCAGATTCTTTCTCCTCAGAGTGGTCAGACCTCATTGAACCCATGCTCACCCTAAGCACAAGTGATAAACTGAGAAAATTAGTCAAGGCCTGAGATTCAAGACAAGCCCTGCTTGGGGAGCCCAGAATGTTCACTAGAATGAGTAGCCTGAGTTTTACCGAGGGGGGAGACAGAGACAGGCAGTTGCTGGGGGAGGACTGAGTTTGAGAAAATAGAGTCCTAAGTCCTCAGAGACTGGTCATGGTGAGGTCTCAACTCAGGAAAAGATGAGCAGCCTCTCTCCTATTCTCCTCTTTTTTGATACCTCCCTATTATACTCCCCCTTTCCATGATCCAGGACCTACAGTGTCATTAGGAGAGCGAGTGACCTTGCTCTGTTAGTCTTGGATCCATATGAAACACTTTTTGCCTTTCCAAATTTGAGACAGTGTCTCTTCTTGTGTCTGAGATGCAAAGTCCCCACCTCAGCATTATCAGACAGACTTTTCCCGATCCCTCTGACTTCAGCTTTCTATGGGTCTGTGTTTACTTGGCCTCCTCCTGCAAGGTGATGGATGAGAAGGCCTTCCCTCTGCTGCCATTGTTGGGAACTGCTTGGACATGGTCAACACACACACACACACACACACTCGAAAGCACATGCGCGCGCGCACACACACACACACTCACACACACTCGAAAGCACATGCGCGCGCGCGCACACACACACACACACACACACACACACACGGAGCAGAGAGAGAGAGAGAGAGAGAGAGAGAGAGAGAGAGAGAGAGAGAGAGAGAGAGAGGAGAATGTTCATTTTAAGACAGAGCCTGGCTATTTCCTTCTGGCTGGCCTGGAACTCACTATATAGACCAGGCTGGTCTACAAATCACAGAAGTCTGCCTGCCACTGGCTCCCAAGTGCTAGGGTCAGAGGAATGTCTCATGACACCAAGCTTCAACACATATAATTAAAAAAAGTAATCTTGATAAAAATACCTTAAGACAAAGCTAGCCGATAAGAAACAAGTAACCGGGCCAACAGCATTGTATCAAATACAGAGTCTCTGTGTGTTAATTGGGGCTGGCGCGACGGCGGGACAAGACCAGGCGGTGGGCGGAAAAACCGTACTCCTTACACACCTTAGATGTGGAGATTAGATAGATAGATAGATAGATAGATAGATAGAGAAGGTACAGTTTTGTCTGTAGTATGCATGTGCCCTGTGTGAACATTCAGGTTGGCTTTGACCTTTGTTGTGATTTCTTTGTCCAACTCCCAGGCTTACGTTCTGAGGATCACAGAGTGGAGAATCTCGTTCGGATCACTATGGCTTCTTTGGTCCTGGTGACTCTTGCTGGTCTGCTGTTTCAGGCTTACCACAGCTGGAGAAGGGAATGAGAGTGTAAGCCTTATGTTTAGGCAGAGAAACAGGACTCACACACTGGAGAGGGCAAATAAGGATAACGGAAAGGTGGCGCAATGTACAGTGATCTCAATACACAAAACTATTATATTGAAACCTGTTCTCTTGTCTGGTAACTAAATTAGTAAAATAAATAAATTTAAAATGGAGCTTCCTCAAGATTCTTTGCTTCCTTCTCTAGGTTCTGAGGCAAACGTACTGATGTCAAGATCTCAAGCATGCTCATGTGTGTGAAATTCATATCCATAACCACTGAGCAATGACAACAGCCTGAACAAATGTCAGCTCATGAACTTTATTAACTGACAATACTACAGCGTATGCCACCTTGAGACCCATTTCTATCGGCTCAGGGTGTCAATGAAGGGCAGAATGCCATTCTTCATGCCTTGTCCTGATGGAGTTAGTAGAAAAAACCCATGAGACACTCAACAGAACGTTTGATCCGACCCATCTATTTGTAAGTGAGCCACATTTAGTAAATGACAATTAAAAAAAAAAAACAGACAGGAAACGAAAGAGTGAAGATGGGCTTATTACACACTCACGTGAGGACAGCAAGGAGTTTTTAAAGAACGGTGGCATGGGATTTTATGCAGGGAGCCCATACATACTCATGTCAGAAAAAGCTTTCAAGGTGTGTAGCTTCTCTATGTAAGGTCAGAGTAGAATAAAGGAGGTGCAAAGAGGGAAGACTATAGGCATATTTTTGGCAACCCAAGAAGATCATGGAATAGAACATCTAAAATAGTCATCAGAAACACTTTGGGACATATTCACCCATGGCCGAACAATAACAAAAGAGAGTCTACATGTGGACATGTTTGTTCAATGGGTGTCATTAAGATGGCCTTTGTTGATCCATAGACAAGCACTGGGCTGAGCTCCAGGAGTCCTGATGAAGAAAGGGAGGAGGGATTATATGAGCCAGTGAGTTCATGATCATGATGGGGGAAATTGACAGCTGACCTGAGCTCCTGGGAACTCACAGACTCGAGACTGACAGCTGGGGAGCCTGCATGGGACCTACCTAAGGCCTCTGCATGTGGGTGACAGTTGTGCAGCTTGGTCTGTTTGTGGGACCCCGTAGCAGCGGGATAAGGATCTATCCCTGGCACATGAGCTGGCTTTTTGGAACCTATTACCTATGGTGGGATGCCTTGCTCAGCCTTGACACAGGGGAGAGGAACTTGGTTCTGCCTCAACTTGATATGCCATGCTCTGTTGACTGCCATTTGAGGCTTTACCCTTTCTGAGGAATATGTTGGTGGGGGGTTGTAGGAAGGAGTTTTTGGGAAGGGAATAGGAGGAGATGAAGGAGGGGGAACTGTGGCTTGTATGTAAAATAAATAAAGATATTTAACAAAAATGTAGATGGTCTCTGTCCAAAAGAAAAATGCCTCCAAGAAGTCTCAGCTTGCATCATGAGTATAGCAGACAGGAACAATGTCAGTCCATGTCATGAGAGAGTGTCAGGGAAGTCTTTGGCTTTGCTCAGCTTTCTACACGACTTTTAGCTTTGGGCAGGAGAGATACTTTGAAGGTATTTTAGTACAGAATCTTGTCTGCAATAGTGTCAGATCTGCCCAGTAGCCAACAACAGTTTGAAAATTCCCTTTGTATTGGCTAAGTTCTAGAAATAAATTGTATGGCTAATAAAATCGTTTAGTGTAATTGGATAACTGTAATCAGGCTTGGTGGTGCATACTTAGTACAATCTTATTCAAGAGACTGAAGTCAAAGAGTCTCCTGAGTCCTTGAGTCCAAATCCAGCATAAACAACTGAAACCCAATTTAAAAGTGTTGAGAATAAAGGCTTGAACTATCATGCTTTCATCATGTCTCCCTCCCAACTTCATGTCCTCCTTTTATAATTTTATTTTTAACTCACTGGAGTCCAGTTAGTGCTGCACATATGTTCATGGGCATGGGGTAATCCACTAGGACATGGACAACCTTGCAGTGGCCATACTTCTTTTTTTATGTACAAATTAGGAGCAATATTATTTTACATAATCCCAGTTCCCTCTCCCTCTGACCCTCCAACGGCCCCCATCCCACTCCCACCACTCCCAAGGGAGGGTGAGGCCTCCCATGAGGGATCATCGAAGTCTGCTACATCATTTGGGTCAGGATCTAGGCCCTCCCGTGTATCTAGACTGAGAGAGTGTCCCTCCGTAGGCAATGGGCTCCCAAAGCCCATTCGTGCACTGGGATAAACACTGGTGTGCAGTGTCCACACGGCTAAAGAAAAGTGGGTTCCCCTAACTGTGCAGCACCCATCAACTGCCAGTAGCACATCTGACATGCATATGGGCACACACACACACAACACACAGACGCACACACACACACCACACACACCACACACACACACACACCACACACACACACACTCACATACACACACACACCACACACACACCCACACACACACACGCACACACACACAGGGATTTCAGACGCCCTGATTTTGTGCAGATCACACACACACACACACACACACACACACACACACACACACACACACACACACAGGGATTTCAGACGCCCTGATTTTGTGCAGATCTTTGGCAGGGAACCATACGTGCTACAGGTTCATGTGTGCATCAGCCATTCATGTCCACAAGACAGCATTTCACAGCTCCCCATCCTCTGGCTTTTGTACTCTTTCTATCCCTTCCTCCATGATGTTCCCAGAGCCTCGGAGAGGGAGTGACACTTAGTCATTCACTGTCAGCACTTGGTCAGGTATGAGCTCGCTGCAAAGGGGAACCTCTCCAACCAAGGTTGAGAGAAGCATGCATTTATGAAGTAATTAGCGGCACATGATTTTCTTGGATTGAAAAGACACCTCCTCCCCAACCTCCAGCTCTGATAGTTTCTGTGTGGCTCTGTGGAGGAGGGAAAACATTTTGGCAGCCTCTGTGTTTGTGGAGTTCAGGTGTGCCGGGGAGGGGACATTCTCTGCTGGAAGTCCCTCTTAGATTCTCACACTACACCATAGCCTCTTCTTTCACTTAAGCAGAATCACTTCTGAATGTGGTAATTCAATCTATAACTGCTCACTAAAATAACGCCTGCCTACACCCAGCTCCCCGTTTTTCATGACACGCTGTGTTCTACCTGTTCTTGTTAGGAGTCTCAGCCTCCTGACCCTGACGGCCCACAGAGGGTTCCTCCCAGTCTGACCGAGAGAAAAGGTCAGGCTGGGGACATTATACACCAGTTCTGCACTGTGATGTCTACTCTTCCATGCTTAGCATCTTCTCAGCATTGTGACTGCCAGCAATGGCTCCAGTGTGACACCGTCAGACTCATATGACAGAGATGCTCATGGGTGACAATGCTAGAGTGGATCTATCTTGTGCATTCACAGAGGAAGGCGGCTTAGTTCTGACAGCGGGGCCTGGGCAATCAGCTTAGACATCCCAGAGCTCATCTGCTGGGGTGATGTATCATTTATGATCTAATAAAGCCACTGAACATCAGGGAAGCAAAGAATTCAGCCACTAGAGAGTTCTCACCTCTACCAAGGCTGAAATGGAGATCTTGTCTTCCCTGTGACTGGAAACTGAATCCCTTTGCTTCTCTCTTCTCTGCCTCTCTAGTGCTTGGATTAAAGGCACAAGCTCTTTTAGATGGATAGGCTTTTTGTATATCCAGGGTGGTCTTGCACTCACAGAGATCCATCTGCCTCTGTCTCCTGAGTCCTGGGATTAAAGGTGTGCGCCACCACTGCCCAGTTTCTATAGCTAACCTGTGTGGCTAGCTTTGCATTCTTATCTCCAGTGGCTTTATTAGATCATAAACAATATAATCACCACAATCTGCAAACAGGGAGATTGGAGCCACAGATGCCTGCCTTTGTCAGGATCCCTTTGGGTTCTTCTTTATTTAGGGAACTTTTGTTTCTCTTTTTCTTTTGCTGACCATGTTTGTTTTGTTTTGTGCTTAAAACAGGCTCCAAGTGAGGAACCTCGGAAATGAGACGCCAGCGTTCCAACTGTCACCAGCAGTGAGTAACAGGCATGCACCGAGGAGAAAGAAGGGCCATTCTTCAGCCACCCTCAACTGCAAGGGGGCCAAGCAAAGGGAGGCAACACGTCTATTTGCTGTTACTCTTAGTGAGATAGGTTAGGGAAGGTGACCATTTGGGTAAGAAGTTCTGGAGTGCACCCAAGCCCCAGCCTTAGGGAAATGAGAGACAGTTGTCTAGGGAGGGCCGTTTCCCTTTCCATGTGTATTCCGAAGAGATAACCATGTGATACCAGGCGTGCAGTTTCCTCTAAAGATCTCATACTCTGCTGTTTGGCTATCTGGACAGACTCTGTGGTGTTTTCCACAAGTACAGCCACTGGGAGAAGGAGCCATGACCTTCGTCTTCACAGCCCTCCTGGTCTATCTGGGTAAGATTTGAAGAAGAGAAGGGGATCATGGCCCGCACAGCCGGACTCTAGCCAATCAGGAAACTCCAAGGTGTTTCCGTGAAGGGACAGCTTGCTTATGTTGGCATTAAGGTAAAGTTCTGACAAGGGACTCTCTTCTAGGGTTGAGTCTGGGCCGAGTGACCTCAGTGTTGGCAGGTGAGCATGTGTCCAACTGTTCCAGATCCGTCATCTCTGGGGACCTGAAGATACCCCTGCTCAGCGGGGCTTGAGAGCATCGGGTGATACTTGGATGGGTGGGGTGCTGGAAATGAGGGCTGACATCTGAGGGGGGGAAGTCCTATGACAGAGCCTCTCATTTCTACTCAGGGAATGCTCCCAAGCCAACCCTCACCATTCAGTCAGGATCAGTGGTTGCCAGAGGGAAGCAGGTAACCATCTCATGCGAGGTGATCACAGGGGCCCGGGAATACCGTCTTTACAAAGAGGGGGGTCCACATCCCTGGCACACACAGAACACACTGGAGGCCACAAACAAGGCTGAGTTCTTGATCCCATCAATTGAACATCGATACGGAGGGAGATATCGATGTTACTATAAGACCCCTGCTGGGTGGTCAGAGCACAGTGACCCTCTGGAGCTTGTAGTGACAGGTGAGAGGAAACTCAGCCCCGGGCTCCGCCCCCAGGAAAGGGATTCCCTTGTCTCACAGCCCAACATTGGAAGGCAACACGGGCTGGATAAGCCCACTTGACATGTTAATACCTTCTCTCCTAGGATTCTACAGTAAACCCAGCCTCTCTATCCAGGCCAGCACTGTGGTGACCTCAGGAGAGACTGTTACCCTTCAGTGTGGCTCACAGCTGGGATTTAGCGGGTTTGTCCTGACTAAGGAAGGAGAACAGAGACCTTTCTTGATCCTGGACTCAGTGTTCATAAACTCTACTGGGCAGTTCCAGAGCTTGTTTCCTGTGGGCCCTGTGAACTCCAGCCAGAGGTGGACGTTCAGATGTTACGGCTATCACATGACCAGCCCCCAGGTGTGGTCGGAACCCAGCGATCCCTTGGAATTAAATGTATCAGGTGAGGAAGCCCCGCCCCATTATTGACTCAATCAGTTGTTGACTGTGTTAACTATTTTTTTTTTTTTTTGCCACAATCACAAATTTTTACTGAGGGAGTCCCCGGAGTCAGGAGGATGAGGGAAACTGAATCAGAGGCTCCGTTCTTGCACGTGTGTGTGTGTGTGGGGTGTCGGGGTGGTGGGTTGCAGTGGCAGCTGCAGGTAGGATGTCAGAGGACAGGCATTTGACAGACACCAGCTTTTCCACCAACACCCAGCCAATTTTCCCTGCAGGGCTTCCCAGGAAGCTCTTACGACCGACTTTGCAAGGCCCTCACCCCTTCCCCTGGAGAGAATCTGACTCTCCACAGTGTTGCTTTTACATTGGTTATGAATGGTTTTTTTTTTTTTTCTTTCTGTCCAAAGGATGGGCAACTGACCTGACCCACATCCTTGGACTGTCTTACCAAGCTGGGCTCTCAAGGCCAACTTCCCCTTGGGCCCTGTAAGCACCCCCACAGGAGCTAGTACAGATGCCATGGTGTCCGAAATATCTCCCTCAAGAGGCCAGTACCCAGTGACCCTGTGGACAGCCTGATTATAGTTGAGGAGCCAGAGTGGGTCCACTCAGGGACTCTAGACACAGGACCAGATGATGAAGAGAAGATCAGGATGAAAGATGGGAATCTCAGGACCAAAACACCAGGAGGTGGGGTTGGAGCAAAGTCATGGAAAGCAGGAAGAGATCCAAGTCACCAGAGACAGGTTCAGAACAAGATAGGTAGCCTCTTACCCATCTTTCTTCCTCTAGGACAGCTCTCTGCCACACCTTCCCTCTCAGGGAAGCCAGGTGTCAACCATTGAAAATAATGGACACTTTTCCTTCCGCCCAATGGGAGAGCAGCTGCTTCTTTTCTGTGTCAGTATCAGGCAGAATTCTGAATGAGCGCTGTGACCTCCCCTCTTGGAGATACTTGAAGGCGTTGTGGTTGTTGAAACTCATCAACCTACCTGTTGCCATGCCACAGTCCCTCTGTGGGACTCAAGATCTTAGATCAAAGGAGCCTTTCCTGTCCTGTGTGCTTCTGTTCACTTACTGCCCTGCTCCCAGGAGAACTCTTGCCTCTAATCACACACATTAGTGGAATTCAGGAAGTGACTCTGATGCAGACTTTGAACGTGAAGACCAGAATGGATTTGGAACATCCAGCAAGGAGAACAGTAAGAAACTTCTACAGAAGGAAGGGCTCATCCAGAAACGCTTAAAGTTACATGCGGAGAGGAACGTACATTTACAAGAGAAGGAACTCAGGAAATGGGGCCAGGGGTGTAGCCCAGTTGGTAGAGTTATTGCCTAGCACACAGGAGGTCCTGGCAGTATAAATAAATCGTGATTGTTATGAGTGCTGTATCCTAGGCTACACGGTAAGAGAAAGGCCTGCCTGGGCTCCGTAAGACCCCATCCCAAAGAAAAGAAAGAAGGAAAGAACGCAGACAGCAAGGAAGGAGGTGGAAAGCAAGGACAGACAGATGAAAGAAAGAAAAAGGAAACAAAGAAGGGAAGAAAGAAAAAAAGAGAAATGAAATGAATGAATGAACGAACGAGGGAGGGAGGCATTGAGGGAGAAGGAAGCAGAATGCAAAATTAAATAAAAAAAAAATACTGAACTTGCTAAGCAACGTAGTGCACACTTTTAATCCCAAGACTGGAGAGGCAAAGGCAGACAGATCTCTGAGTTCAAGGTCAGTCTGGTCTACCTAGAAAGTTTAATGACAGCTAAGGCTACAAAAAGGGATTCTGATTCAAACAACCAAATGAAAAAAAAAAGAACAAAAAAACTAAGAAATCTGGGCTATTTTAAAAAATCATTGCATAAAATATACAGCAAAGTCAAGCACAAACAAAACTTCAATTTTTCCTTCTTTTTTTTTTACACTTATTTCAGTTTTTAAAAGAATTTCACACATAATTGTATTTATACTATTTCTCCCCTTCCTCTCCCTCCTCAGCTCCTGCTACGTATCTTCCACTCCTCAAATTCATGACCTTTCTTTAATGACTGTTAGGTGTATGCATACATAAATAGAGCATGCTGTTTATGAACACAGTGCTACATTTAGTGTTGTCCGTGTGTGTGTGTGTGTGTGTGTGTGTGTGTGTTTGTGTGTGTGTGTACGCGCGCTTGTGTTTAGGGCTGACCGACCATTTGAGATTAAATCGCCTACCAGGGTCTCTTCCCCAGAAAAGATGTAATCTTCATCTCCCAGAATCCATCAGTTGCCTGTAGCTTCCTCATCTAAGTGTGGGATCTTATGAGATTTCACCCAAACACATTGGTATGTCAGCGGGTTTTATCACGCAGGTCTTGTTTAGGCGTATGTATGTATGTATGTATGTATGTATGTATGTATGAATGTATGTATGTATGTATGTCATGGTGCAACTCCTGGCCATAGACAGAAGACACTGTCTCACAGCAGATGTCCTAGTGCCCCTGTCCTCCAGTTCTTATAATCTTTCTGTCCTTTCTAATCTCTCTTCCTCCTCTTCTGAGATATTCCTTGAGCTTTAGGTATAGGGGTTGTATTGCAACTGTGTCAATTAGGGGTGTGAACCCCATGATTAGCTGTTCTCTGTATTTTGAGTAGTTGTAGATTTCTGTGATGGTCTTTGTATTCTGGAGAGAGACAAAGACACAAAGAGGGAGGGAGAAAGGGAGGGAAGGAGGGAGGGAGAGAGAGAGAGAGAGAGAGAGCGCTTTTGAGAGAGGGTTTTACTACATAACCCTGGCGGGCCTGAAACTCACTCTGTAGACCAGGCTGATCTTCAACTCAGAGATCCACCTGCCTCTGCCCCCCACCGCAGTACTGGGAATAAAGGTGTGTGTCACTATACCTTTTCTTAAAACGGTGCCAGGGAGGTAGAAAGGAAGAAAATAAAAAACAGGACCTAGAAGAAACTTGGGTCTCAAGTATTGCACACACCTTACTTTGTTAAAAAAAAATAATGTTTATTAGGGTTTTGTCTGCATGAGACAGAAGCCCTGGAAATGGAGTTGCAGATAGGTGTAGGCTGCTGTGTGGGTGCTGGGAATTGAATTTGGGTGGTCTGGATATATATATGCACCCAGGTAGCTTTCCAAATTTATTTATTTATGTTTTTTTTATTTTTCTTACTTTACATATCGATCCCAGTTCCCTCTCCCTCCCTCTCTCCCACCCTCCCATGCCCTACCCCCCCCACCCATCCCGCCCTCTAAAGGTGGGGTTTCTCTGTGTAAAACTCAGGTTTCTCTGAGTCCCTGGAACTTGCTTTGTGGACCAGGCTGGTCTCAAACTCACAGAGATTCACCAGCATCTGCCTCCAGAGCTCTGGAATTAAAACCCTGCACCACCAGCACTGCCAGCTGGTAAGCCAGCACTCTTAACCACTGAGCCACCTCCCCAGCACCCTGCCCCCAAGCCTTCTTCTTCTTCGGTTCCTAGGAGTAGTTCAGCCCCTTGGGCCATCACCAAACATGTCAGACCCCAAGGCAGGTGAGTAACAATTCTCAGTCACAAGACTCAAGACAGAAGATCAAGTCCTGAACAGGGGGAAGCAGTCTCCTGGGGCAATTCTCATCTGCCCTGACCTTTGTTACCTCTTTTTCTACAACCTCCAGTCTCGAAGCCCCAGGATTACACAACGGAGAATCTCATCAGGATGGGGTTGTTGCTCTTGGTCCTTGTACTCCTGGGCATTCTGCTGTTTGAATCTCAGCACAGCCAAAGACCCACCCAACACGAAGCCAGGAGAGAAATTAGGTCATCTGTCAAGGTGGCAGAAACCTTGGAATGAATCTGAGGATCTCAGGTGGTTCTGGGACACACAGTGGGGAACCATTTTCAGGGACTATCCAGGGAGCAAATGTGGTTTGAATGTAAGGAAACATCTGGGTGTAGTGGTGGAGAGTTCTTCTTACAGAAAATCACAATGTTACTTCTTCACCTATATCAGTGGTTCTCAACTTGTGGGTTGAAACCCCTTTGGGGGTCACACATCACACATCCTACATATCATGCATTTCCATTACGTTCTGAACAGTAGCAAAATTACAGTTACGAAGTAGCAAAGGAAATCATTTTATGGTTTGGGGGTCACCACAACGTGAGGATCTGTACGCATTACAGAGTCACAGCGCTGCAAAGGCGTAGAACCACTGCCCTAATGCATACTTCAGCTGACTATCTCATCCCTCTTCCTGCCTCCGACGGATTCGGGGGAGGGATAACCCTGTCCTATAAGTTAGCTTCTGGTTCTCACCCTCATGCATCTCCAGTTCTTCCTCTCTGCCATGTAACGTTTTACTTTATTATAGGCTACCACATACCTCACTTACACCTCTAGAACAAAGACCTTGGCTGAAATAGCAAAGATAATGCTCAAAAACAAAACTAAACAAAAAACATTCCAAAACGGAAAACAAGATCTGAATGCAGTGGTAACCCACAACTGTCTCTTGAATCCTGTTTTCTTTTCTTTCTCTCTTTCTTTCTTTTTCTGTGAATCCTCAGTTTTCAACACATATTCAACACCCGTATTTGTATTTGAAGGATCTTTCTGGTGGGGAACTGATGGCATGGGTTTGAAAATATAATTTTCATAATAACAATTACAGAAGAGAGGCTATGAACGTGAGAGAGTATGGCGCGGCATGGGCGGAGTTGGAGGAGAAAGAGGGAGGGGCAGAAATGATGTAAATACAGTACTCATAATAAATTTGGAAAAAATAAATAACTTGTCCCATAATCCTGGTGCATATGGCCTTGCCTAATTGCTGTGTAGAATTAAAGTAGCAACTTAAAAAAATAATTAATTAATTTAATTTAGAAACAATCTCCTTTTACATATCAATCCCAGATCCCTCTCCCTCCCATTTTCCCACGTCCCCCACCAACCCTCACATTCTACTTCCCATCCAGGGAGGGTGAGGCCTTCCATAGGGGATCATCGAAGTCTATCACATCATTTGGGGGGAGGGCTTAGGACCTCCTCTATGTATCTGGGATGAGAGAGGATCCCTCCATGGGGAATGGGCTCTCAAAGTTCATTCATGAACTAGGGATAAATACTGGTTCTACTGCCAGAGGTCCCATAGATTGCCCAGGCCTCCTAACTTACACCCACAGTTAGAGGACTTGGTTTGGTCCAATGCTGGTTTCTCAGTTTTATAGACAATTATAACACTATATAACTATATAACACTAATAGAATACCATTTATTTGGAGTTTAGACTTGATGTATGAAATAATATTTTACAATTTCAAATTCTTTTGTTCACTGCTAGTATTTATAAAAATAGCTGGCATGAGCCAGGCGGTGTTCCTGCCTAACTTACACCCAGCAGTTAGAGTGGTATCTCTGTGTAGTTCATAGTCAGACCGGTCTATAAGAGTGGGTTTGGATGCCATCTGTTTGGACTCCCTGGCATGGTCCAATGAATCGATCTTGAACTACTTTGTTGGTGCATTTCATGAAGTCTTTTATTATTATTATTATTATTTTATTATTATTGAGATGGGGTTTCTCTGTGTAGCTTTGGAACCTGTTCTGTAATTCTCTTTGTAGATCAGGCTGATCTTGAACTCACAGAGATCCACCTGCCTCTGCTTTCCAAATGCTGGGATGAAAGGCGTGCGCCGCCGCCACCACCACTTGGCCCATGAAGTCACTTTTGAAAAGGGATTAATCCTGTGCTATCTGCAGAGATACTTACAGGTGTTTCTGATATGGGCCTTGGTTTCTTCCCCCCCCCCAAGTGGGCTCAACTGGTTTTTGCTTTTCCCCCCTGTCACAAGCTGAACAATCTATGGAGAGAAGGGATATTGTTGCCTTCTTTGTGATTTAAAATGAGATTTCGGGGTTCTTATTGTTTAATGTTAATTTCAGTTTCAGCATATTGTCTTATTCAGATGGAAAAATCTCTCCGTTCCTAGTTTTCTGTGACTGTTCAGGGGGTCGGGGGGGTTCTGGTTTTTTTTTTTTTTTCCCCCAAAAGGCCCCCTCGGGTGGGGTGTTTTTTTTTCTTTTTTGGGGTGATGGGGGGGGTTTTTTTTCCCGAATGACTCAGATTTATAAGACTATGCAAACCTGTTTATCATGCTGTATACATCTTTGACACACGTTTGATTAAATTTGCTAATATATCTATGCATCACTAATAATGGCAAAAATTAGAAACACCAATGACAACTGATGCTGGAGAGGATGTGGAGAAAGGAAAACACTCCTCCACTGCTGGGGGGAGTGCAAACTTGTACAGCCATTTTGGAGATCAGTATGGCGGTTCCTCAGGAAAATGGGTATTAGTTTACTACAGGGCCCGGCAATCCCCCTCCTAGGCATATACCCAAATGATCCACATCCATGCAACAAAGACATGTGCTCAACTATGCTCATAGTAGCATTATTTGTAATAGCAAGAACCTGGAAGCAACGTAGATGCCCCTCAACTGAAAATGGATAAAGAAGATGTGGCACATCTACACAATGGAATACTACTCTGCAGGAAAAAAATCAACCAACCAACCAACCACCCAACCAACCAACAAAAAAAAAAAAAAAAAAAAAAACCAATGGAATCTTGAAGTTTGCAGGCAAGTGGATGGAACTTGAAGAAATCATCCTGAATGCGGTAACCCAGTCACAGAAAGAGGAACATGGTCTGTACTCGCTCATATATGGATTTTAGACCTAGAGCAAAGGATCACCAGCCTATAATTCACACCACCAGAGGAACTAGGATATAAGGTGTATTCTAAGAGATTCATATAAAGTCCCTCACAGAAGGGGGAAGGGACAAGTTCTCCAGAGCACATGGGAAAGTGGGAGGGGGGGCAGTGAGTGGAGAGAGAAGTAGGAGAAAGAGAAGGGGAGGAGAAGAAAGCACATGGGACTAGGAAGATTGAGTCAGGGGAGGAGTAGAAGACAGGAGAGAGAGAGAGAGAGAGAGAGAGACAGACAGACAGACAGACAGACAGAGACAGACGCAGAGAGAGAGAGAACATAAAAGAGGGGCTATTATAGGTTTGAAGAGAAAACTGAACCTAAAGAAATGTCTAGAGACCTACAAGACTGCCGCTAACTAACAATTTGAACAACTGTGGAAAGGCTACCATAAATGACCTTCCCTGATAATGAGATCAACATCTAACTTATCTACCATCATGGAGCCCTCATCTAGTACCTGGTGGAAACAGAAGCAGACACCCACAACTAAACACTGAGTCAAACTAGAATCCAGAAGCAGAGGAAGAGGAGGACAAGACTAAGTTGCAGAAACACATAGAGACAGATGACCTGAACAAGGAGGAGCTAATGGGCCCCCAGACTGAGAGCTGGGAATCCAGCATGGAACTGACTCAGAGCCCCTGAACATGGGTCTCAGCCAGAAGGCCTGAGCAGTCTAAGGGACCTCAGACAGTGGCACCAGGATGTATTCCTTGTGCACAAAAGGACTTTGTGGACATATCCCCCATGGAGTGATACTGCCTTAACCTAGAGACAGGAGAGAAGTCCTAATCCCTACTTCAAAGGACTTGACAGATTTAGATGACCCCTCCTGGAGGGCATCACTCTACATGTGGAGTGAGGGTGGGTGGGAGGGGAGGGTGGTCAGGGTGCATGTGAGGGGAGAGAGGGAAAGAGGGAGGGAGGGAAGGGGGGAAGGAGAGGGAACTGTGATCAATATGTAAAATAAAAACAAAAATAAAAAAAGAAACTGAACAAACAAACTTAGCAGAATTAAATTGTGGTGTGTGTGTGTGTGTGTGTGTGTGTGTGTGTGTGTGTAAGAACATGAAGGATGTTTGTCTCTGCACAACCATGTGAGAAGGCTGGGTGTCCTGTTCTATCATTCTCCATATTACCTCCTTGAGACAGGGCCTCTTACTGAGCTTGGAACTAGGATGAAAGCACCAACAATCCTGCCATCTCTACCCTAGACAGCACCAGAGGCTTCCGTGGCCATATCTAGCTTTTTTCATGAGCTCTGGAGATTCAAACTCAGATCTGCGTACTTGTGCAGTAAAAGTACTCATACCACAGAGTCATGCACCAACACTCAGAATTAATTTTTAATCATCTAAATACAACTTACTACTTCATAGCACCATAACACTGACCCACTTTAATTCTTGCTCCCGTTTCTTCTCTGACAGCACTTGGAGCTATTTCTGTCTCTCCTCCTCTGCTCCTACCTATGCACATGAGGCTTCTCTATGGGATGACCTGGGAATCAGTCCTGAGTGTACGTCCTTGAATTAATGACATCTGCTCTTCCAAATTTATCATCTTCTTCAGGTAGTGCCTGGCAGGGATGACTCCATTGTGACCCACACCCATTTGAGACAGATGACCATGGGGGACAATACTGAATGAATCAGTTTTATGTATACACAGAGGGAGGTAGCTCAGCGGGCAATAAGCTGAAACGTCCCAGTGGCCATCTGGAAATACGGGGATTGGAGTCACAAATGCCCGCTTTTGCCAGTATCCCTCACCCTACTTCCACTACATGGAGAGCAACCTCCTCTACAGACCTCTGAAGACCCTTCCTTCTCTGTCCCTGCCGTGCTCTGTGAAATGGGTTCTTCTTTATCCAGGGACCTTTTGTTTCCCCTTTTCTTTGCCTGACCATAATGATCTGAATATTTCACAACGTTATAATACACTACCTGTAAATTTTCATAGTAGAGAGAGGCTTCCCTATTGGCCAACAGTGATTTATTTATGAACCAATAAGAGAAACATATGTACAGAATGACATCTCCCACCAGTCTAAGACACCATAACACCATGGAAAATCGAAAGAATGAAGTGCTCACAGAGGACTTCATATGAGGAACCTGAGTTATGACGTGCTGATGTTCAAACTGGCACGGGACGTCAACTACATATAGATAAAGAGATATCAGTCCCTTTGGGAGCACATTCCACATGGAGGGATACTCCCTTAACCTAGAGGCAGGAGGGAGGGCCTAGTCCCTACTCCAAATGACTCGACAGATTTTGTTGATCCCTCCTAGAAGTCATCAACCTCCCTGTGGAGTGGGGGGGGATGGGATGGGAGGTTGGTGGGGGGGCATGGGAGGTTGGTGGGGGGGCATGGGAGTGAGGGAGAGAGAGAGGGAACTGGGATCGATATGTAAAATAAGAAAAATAAATAAATAAATAAATAAATAAATAAATAAATAAATAAATAAAAAAAAGAGATATCAGTCCTGACTCCATCAGGAAGAATTCTTCCCCCCGAACCATAAACAGTGAGGGAACAAGGAGAACTCTGCAGGCTGTCCCACAGACATGTAAGTGGACGATGTTGCTAAGAAAAGAGGGCATTCCACGCAGGGGGCTGCTCTTCCAAGAAAATCCACACCCAGAAGCAAGAGAACCAATGAGAGATGACCTTCTATACGCTGTGGATACGTGTTGCTTTTATTGGCTGATGAATAAAGATGATTTGGCCAATGGCCAGCCAGAATAGAGTCAGGTGGGAAATCCAAACAGAGATAGGGAGAGAAACAGGGTAGGGTCAGGGAGATGCCAGGTGGCCACCCGGGGAAGCCAGGTGTGAGGCGATAAGCCACAAGCCTCATGGTAAAATATAGAACGACAGAAGTGGGTTAATTCAATTGTGAGAGCTAGTCAGTAATTGGCCAAACAATTACAGTTAATGTTAAGCTTCTGAGAAGTTACTTGAGAACTGGCAGACAGAAGGAAAACCTCCATTTACCAAGAACAGCCGTCTTTCCTTTCCTATCTCTTCCTGTTCTCTTCTCTGCCCACCCGCAGGATAAAACTCCATGTGAGGTGCAGTCAGGAACTCACTGTTTTTCTGATGTTTATGTCTGCCCTTCATCACCAACCTGCATTTTTTTTTTCTGGCTATGTTTTGTTTTATTTCTCACCCATTTTGTGATCATCCTGTGCTCAATGCCACACAATGCTGGGTGTCACCGTGGTCACTGCTCTATTGTTGTGAAGAGTCTCCAAGATCAAGGCAGCTTATAAAAGAAAACATTTAACCGAGGGCTGGCTTACAGTTTCAAAGGTGAGTTCATTATCATCATGGTGGCGGGGAAGGATGGCGGCAGGCATGTCAGGCATGGTGCTGGAGGAGTAGTGAGAGCTACATCCGGATCTACAGAGCAGTCTCACCAGCCACATTTCCGTGTGTAGATGTTTTCACGCTGTTTGTGGTTATCACATCCCTTTTCTGTCACAATGACTTCTCCAGTTTCACACTTCCAGTACAGAGCGGGAGCTCAGTCTTGGTGTGAGTCTGAATGAATCCAGAACCTTCTAGTGCCGAACCGTAATCCGGCATGTTACTCCCTCCGCCGCATGGCATTCCCAACCTGGATATGTATGAAGTATCCCAGGCTGGTTAGCTGAACGTCCGTGGTGAGAACCTCACAGTGGTGTGCATGCAAATGCATGGGAACCCCGTAGGAAACCCCATGGTGCAGCTGTAAAGAGGAAGGGCCTGGCCTCAGCCCTCCTCAACTGGAAGGGGCCAGTAAGGGAAGTGGTGAGGGCACCAGTTCTGTCTCTGGTGTGCTTTGACAGCCACTGCACTGAGGGCACGTCAGGTAGACATGAGTTGTATTGGGGGAGGTGACGTTTCTGTGAGAAGTGACCGCAGGGTTGGGGGTTTGTCTAAATCAAATTAGCAGGGAGAGAGAGGAGGCCCAGCTGCTCCCATTTCTCTTTTTCTGTGCAGATGCTGACCTTTCAACAAACTGATGGGAACTGCTCGGCCCCAAAGACCCAAACGTCTTGTCCGTGTTGTCTGTCCTTAAGCACGGTTGGAGCTACTGGGAAGAGATACCATGATCTTCACTTCCACAGCCATGCTCTGTCTGGGTAAGATATGAAGGTGGATAGGAGATACTATTGTTGTAGAGAGGCTTGGCTTCATAGCCCAGCACTGACTGGATTTCTGGAAATCCCAGGTGTGTAAGGACTCAGGCATTATGTTAGGCCGCCCCTGTCACCTGGCAGAATGCTCTAAGGCAGTATCCTGGTCAATCCAAGGTTCCATGATTGTGTAATCTGCACAGGTGCAAAGGACCCCTTTGAGAGAAAGATCCCCACTCTCTTAATCTCTCTTTTCCTTATTCCTCTCTTTCCTGGGGTTACCCTGGGACAGACAGGACTTTTCCTGTCTCCCTCTTCTCTTCTGTCCTCTCTGTCTCTGTGTCTCTTTACCTCTTTTCTCTCTCCTCCTCTTCCCTTTCTAATAAAACTTCTCACTTAAGCCCTGTCTGCTTGGTATGTTTTTCTCTCTGCCTTTGTCACTCTAGCTTGCCATGGAACCCACCAAGGTCACCCCTGTGCTTTGTCCTATCACAGGGGATGCAGGAGGCTCTATGGATGGAAGGGTCTGCTCAGTGAGGGTTAAACTCACAGGGAACTCTCTTTCAGGACTGACTGTGGGGCTCAGTTCTCCAGCTCTGGCAGGTGAGTGTTCTCTGCTGTCTTGGATCTTTACATCTCACTTGGAAGCAGGGGCAGGCTAAAGTATGAGCAGTGTAATGGACAACAGGTGAACTAATCCTGGGGGAACCAGGAGGGTTCTGACTGAATAGTGAGATCTTCAGGGGGTGGATCTAGGACCGAGCCTCTGATTTCCTTGTAAGGATCCATTCCCAACTTACCCTCAGGACTCAGCCAGGCTTCGTGGTCCTCAGAGGTAGGAAAGGTCCCCAATGTGAGGAGACATCAAGAGATCATAAGTACCATGTATATAAAAATAGAATCCTCATTCTCTGGTGCAAATAGACTCCACTGGAGGCTGGAAACAAGACTGGGCTCTTCTATTGAATCGTATCATTGAGGTGATATGCTGTTACTATGAAAACCATGAAGGTTTATCAGAATACAGTGACCTTCCTGCAGCTGGCGGTGGCACATAAAACTATATTTAGGACCTCCACCCAGAGGCTCTGACCTTAGAAAAACAGTGACTCTCCCTTCACAGCTCATCACTGTGAGACTGTAAGTCCACTAACATATTCTCTCCATCTCTCCTAGGAGACCCCTACAGCAAACCTAGATTGTCAGCACTGGACAGCCCTGTTGTGAACTCAGGAGAGTATGTGACTCTCCAATGTATCTCATGGCAGAGATATGATGGGTTTATTTTGACCAAGGAAGGAGACCCCAACTTCTCCAGAACCCTGGACTCACAGTATATTTTCACTGGGCATTTGCAAGCCATGTTTCCTGTGGGTCCTATGACCCCCAGCAACAGGGGGACATTCAGATGTTATGGCTACTACAAAAGAGATCCACAGGTGTGGTCCACGCCCAGTGACCCCCTGGAAATACATGTATCAGGTGAGGCAGCCCCATCAATGACTTAATAATTTATTGAGACCCTAAGCTATATGCCAGGAGATTGGCTGCCAAGCGAATGGTGTGCTAAGTGGTACTTCTGGCTCCCAAGTCAGGCTTTCAGAGTGTGTAGTTCATTAACACATCCAGGGCATGATGGGGGTTGGCAGATTATTTGGCAGGAACCAGCTTAACCCCCAGGTCATACTCTCAAAGAGCTGGCTGGGAATCACTCTCTCCTGTGGGAACCTGACCTGGTATTCCCTGGGCATTATTTATGATGGAACTGTTCTATTCCCTGTAGTGGCATGCGACTTCTCCTAGTACCTTGTCTGTGACCGTTCTCACATTGTTTTACCTGCAACCTTTTAACTGCCTGATAGGGGCCGTTACAGAAACTCAGGCTGGCATGACCTTTCTCCTGAGTTGTCAGCCCCACTACACACTGGACTTCTTGACTGCAGGCTAAGAGCTCACCAGGTCCAACCAGGGACCCAAGTCCTGCACGTACTCTGTGGGAGAACCAAACAGCTGTGATTAGGGATGTGACAGACAGATGGAGATAGGGGAGGGAGTGAATGGGGAAAGGCCAGAGAAAAATAAATAGACAGAGACAAAGATCTTTATATTTCAGCAATGGTTCAATCTCTGGTCAGAGCAAAGGCAATTAGTCCCCTATCTTCCCATCCTTCTTCCTTCCAGGAGAGCCTTCTTTCACAACCCCGTCACCAGAAATCATGGAGCCTTGTGGACTTTTACCTTGTATTCAACTGCTCTCCCATGTCTAAGAACCAAAACCATAGCTCAGTCCAACTAGATAGAATTCTCTGTGAGTGTTGGGACCTGCATAGGTCATGGGTCTCAAGGATCTTTTCCATGTATTACGTTATTCACTACAGTATCAAGTGAGGGAACACTGACCCACCATTTATGAACTAAAAGACCCACTGACCACCCAGGAGAACTCTTCGTCTGGTTGGAAATGGCAGGGCCTAAAGAGGGTCAACTGGAGGGATATCCACTCTTTTGGGTGATGGAGGCTAACAGGATATCTTCCATTGTGATGACTTACTGGGTGCTTCTACTCTATACTTTCTTTGCCGTTCTTATGTGTTGTTTCTCCTTCTCTGGAGATTTATAAATGATCACTTTCCTATAGAAGTTTCATCTAAGATTTGATATCCAAAGAAAGTAAGTCTACTATTTTCAGATGATTTTTATATGTTTATATATCAGCTAGAAATTAAAACTTTGTCTTAACATCAAATATATCTGTCCAAGATATTTGAGATGGAGAATTAACAGTATACCCCAAACATTTGTAATTTTTCATAAAATTATATATGTTTAAGGGAAAATAGATGAGTTACCCAATGAGTTTAATATTTCCAAATTAGGCTTTGGGGGCCTTGTATTTTCTAAACGATGAAGCATACAAAAGAAAGCATTTAGTTTTTCTACATTATTTCATTTTATATTTATCTAGGTTTTTTTCTATTTCAATGGCTTTTCAGTTTTTTCGATTCACCGATAAAAGTCATATCTATGGATGATGATGTAAAATTTTTACTTCCAATTTTTTTTAATCTGTCCATTCTAGCATATGATGAGTTTTAGGAAGATGTTTTCATCCAAGGATATCAGGTAGTTTTACTTTATTCACACCATGGCATTTTTTCCCATCCCTCTATTCTGAGATATTCTCTCAATCTATTCATATCTAGTTTCATACACACAAACTCACACTCACACGTTTTGGGTGCATGTATGACTGTCAACAATTTGCATACAATGCCATTGGAAGTCAGAAGAAAGCTTCAGATTATCTGCGACTTCAGTTACAAATGGTTTTGAGCTTCTGTTGCCTGATGGGAACTATACCTGGATTCTCTGAAAGAATAGTCAGTGCACTTAGCTGCTGAATTATCTTTCTGTCCTCATGCATATGACTTTTAATTTAAAAATTTCTATTGAGAATTTCATAGATGAATAGTGTTTAAATCATCTACACCCCTCCATCATCTCAGTCTCCCTCCCCCAAATCCTCCTATATTCCTCCCAAATTCAAGGTCTTTTTTAAAAATTATCACACACACACACACACACACACCACTACTGGGTTAATTTATTGTTACTCCCATGGACATATGCTTAGGACTGACCACTTGGGATCAAATAATCTCTTTTTGACATTCTTCCCTGTAGAAAAAAAAAATTGAATTTTTTCCTCTTAGAAGTCATTGCCTGTCTATAACTCTTCATGTAGGGATGGTTCCTTGTGAAATTCAGAAATTGAGGTCAGGAATGTGAGCAAGGACTTAATCATTTGCCAACTAGCGATAATTGGGCTGCCTTTGTATTTGCAACCTAGCCAGACAGTGCAGTTTTGTGCCCCAGTGAATTAAGAATTGGAAACGTCTATCTAAAAACCGTTAGCAAGGCATGTGGCCTAATCTAAAGCTCCCCCTAGGCTTTATGTGCAGCTAGTGATGCCTCAGCAATACAATGAAAGGGATTTGAGCCCTTCTGGCTCCCAGGAATCATTAATTTGAGCTGTGATCAGAAGCAGCTTCTAGGGGTAATTTATGATCCGTCACTGGTATGACATTTCTTTGTATTCATTTTGTATTCATCAAAGCTCTGTATAAGCTAACATTATTGATATAAAATGGGCAATAGAGATTAAGGAGGAGATACCTTTTTGACGACCCACAGAATAGATGCCAAGTAGATCAAGTTATTTTCATGAGATAGACACACTACAATACAGGTGCGGGGGGGGGGGATTCTCCGTACCATATACGTTGTATCAGCAAGCATGAAGGGGCACAGCAGAAGCAAAACATATTCTGGCATCTTTATTCTTGCAAGCCTTGCTTAAGAGAGACATATACATCAGAGATTTTCTTCTGGTGGGCTGAAACCTTAACTTCAGTTGCCACCTTCTCCTCCGACATGGCTACTGGCAGGAATTGAGGCAAAGCCCATGAGAAAGGCTCAGGTCTCTTCTTAAGTACTTCATACATCCTACCTCTATCCCTTGTTTAACAGGGGCATCTGAGATGACTTCAACAGAAGTCAAGATAGGTGAGTACTGGGAGCTCTTCCTTAAGGGATGGATGCAGAGAGCCAAGGTTTCCTTCTGCAGTGGAGTCAGGTATTGAGGGTGGACATCCACTCGTCTGGGAGTGACTGTGGTCTGCCCTGACCTGTGTGTGTACAATCTCCAGCCTCACAACCCCAGAACCATTCAGTGGACAACCTCATCCGGATGGCTATGGTTGGCTTGGTCATCCTGGTTTTTGTGATTCTGCTGATAAAGGCTTGGCACAGCCAGAGACGGATCGTATATACACCCGGGAGATAAACAGAAGAGACAGCAGCGCCTTTTTGGTGGCAGATTCTGAAAAGTGCATCTGAGGATTCAAAGCGTTTCTGTAAGAAAATCTGGGGTTTATGTGGGACGCTGTTTTCAACATTGTTCAGGAAACAAGCGTGTTTTGGGTTCAGGGAGAGATCTGGGTGCTGTGGAATGATCTTTCTTACGCTGTAAATATGTATTCCTCTTATTTGTTAATAAAAGCTGTTTGACCAATAGCCAGGCAGATTAAGTTTAGGTGAAACAATCTGAGAACTCAGACGAGGAGGGGCGGTGTAGTGAGATACTCACTTTGTGCCTGTGGCACAGACCGCGCCCACTGGGGGTGGGAACAGGGGCCCACGTTAACTGGGGAATTGAATTCTGAGGAGGGGGACCCCTGGGAACTCTCTTGCTTACAGCACAGGGGCAGGAGAGCATCGGGAGGCACCCTTGGGACCAGGAACCTGCTGGTGTGCATCTGTCTATGTTGTAAGTTAGTTCTTCCAAAATAAGCATCTATTCGGCTTGTTTCTCCAGATCCTTATTAAATTTCAATAGGGGTGGAGTTGAGGGAGATGCTATCCAGCCACAGAGCAGGCAGGACAAGCTTTGAACCATGCAGCAAATCAAATATAAAAATATGGGTTAATTTAAATGTAAGAGTTTGCTAGTAATAAGCCTGAGCTATTGGTGGAGCATTGATAATTCATACAAGCCTCTGAGTGATTGTTTAGAAGTGGCTGCAGGACTGAGGGGGATAGAATAACCTTAGTTTACACCTGAGTGTTGGGGCACAGAACTTTTACATCTCAGATTAAAGTTTGCTTTATCATGTATGGTCTTTGGTGAGTGATGCCTCCTCTCTTCTCATATGTGACACAAGGGAAAATCTTATCCTAAAGCTTGGTTGGGTCTTTACCTTCAAGCATCTTTTATGTCACATTTCCCTATAAATGATTTAACTATAAATCATCACACTCCCCATTACACTTTGAGATTCTTTCTTTTCTAGTGAGAATAAAGTATTTAGCTCAATAACTATAACTATGAGCATAAACCATATTCTAGAAAGAAAAATAATCAAACAAAAAAATCAAGTCCTGTAACACACTCTAGGACCCAGAAACCCTTTAACTATCACTACAGGTTCACTGTTTCTTATAAAATCTAAAGACTTGCCGGCCTGCCATGCACTTGTATTTGAAGGAGTTCTCTGGTGGGGTACTGTTGACATGGCTGTGTAAATATCATTTTCTAAACTAGTTCTGATGTGTGATATTTGCTGGTTGTTACAGTTAATATAATTTCTTCATTGCCAATTTCATAACATACCTGTGTGAGAAGTTTAGAAATGATACATGATATTGATGTACTTTCAATCAAAGTCAACTGTCAATTGTTGCCCCATGCAAAAGCAATTGACATATAAATAAATAAACCTTGAATAATTTTGATATAATCAGCAATTTAGGGGCTGTAGAAATGGCCATCTGGTTAAGAGAACTGTCTGCTCTTCCAGAGGAGTCTGCTTCAATTTCCAGTATCCACATGGCACCTCAAAACTCCAGTTCCAGAGAATCTGATATCTTCTGGACTCCATGGGTTTGAACATTCATGCATGCAAAACACACACACACACACACACACACACAGAGAGAGAGAGAGAGAGAGAGAGAGAGAGAGAGAGAGAGAGAGAGAGAGAGAGAGAACTAAATAAAATATGAAAATAGGAAAAAAAATCAATGCTTAATTCTACAAAGTTAATTTGCAAAATATTTCAGATTTTCTGAGTAGACATCTTGAAAGAAGCACAAATCAGCATTGTAGATCTTCCTTCTGAATATGTGAACCTTCATTTCCTGGTCTTACTTCATTAGCTGGGACTTCAAGTATAAGCCTGAATTCTCCAAGAGAGACTTAGCATTGCTGTATTCTTTCCAATTTATCGTGAAATCTCTCATTTCAAATATGATATTAACTTTAGGTTTCTTTAATATGATCTTATTAAATGGAGAGATTGGGGCATTGGCTCCATCTCTCCCTTCTTACTTTTCTTATGTTTATTTCCACTTTTACTATGTTGCCTAGATGGGTGATAATTGACTGGCTTTTGGTTTGTTGAACCAAGTTTATATAACAGGGCAGATCTTGTTTGTTCATAATGTATTAATCTTTTTACACAGCATTGCATTGAATTTACATTGCTATCAGTAGAATAACCTGTGATAAAGGCATATTAGGGAATGTTTTCATCATGTAAACATTGTAGAAAGTCACATGGATATAATTTTACAGGTCATGTGATCCTATGGGATCACCATCTTACTTGTGATCTGTCATTTACTGGAATGTATGGTATTCATTGAGGACTTTGTATTTATGTCTATAGAGATATCCATGTACAGTTTTGTATTTTTTTAATAAGGCTTTCTCTGTGTAGCTCTGGCTATCCTGGAGTAGCCTGGTAGATCAGAGTGGACTTGAATTCACAGAGATCCCCTAGCCTCTGCCTCCTGAGTGCAGGAATTAAAAGCATGCATCACCACCATCTAGGATCATTTTTTAAATAATGTGTTTGTCCAGATTTGGTGTTAGACGATGATGGACTCACGTAGGTTAGGCTGGATGTATTATTTTTAGGATGGTAGAGCCCAGTTATCATCTTGGGCTTCCTACTAGAATTTAGCTAGATCTTTGGCAAATGGGACAGGCTTGTGTGCACCTTCTAGGCACTCTCCTCCATGGAACCGTCTCCCTGATCCTGTCCTGATTTCACCAGAGCCTGAAAGCCTCATACTTCGATCCTGTTGGAGAAGGAGTCACCTCATGGTCCGTAGCCATAAATTCTCTTAGACTCTGTGAATGACAGAGTTTTGAACAAGCAGAGTTGATGCAATAGGATGCCACACAGAACCCAATCAGTCCAGACACTGTGGTCTTTCTCACCAACTATGTGATCAGAACATGTGTCAAAGAAACCCAACCTGTGGGGAAGGAGGAAATTCATCATTTTTGTCTCAGGGAGCAAATTATTTTAACTTCACCCACCACTGACATTTCTCAGTAACTCAGAGGTTGCCTTGAGAGGAGAGAGGGGAAGCACACAATGTGACCCAAGAGACAAAGGGATTGATCGATGGAGCAGAGATAACTGGAATCCTGGAAAGCACCAGATTTTCCACGCTCTCTTTTTAAAACTTTTTATTTATTCTTTGTGAATTTCATATCACGCATCTTGGTCCCATTCATCTCACCATCAGCTCATATCTACCATCTCTCTTTGCAACATCCACCTCCACCACAAATAAAATAAAATTTAAGAGGAAAGAAAAAAACAAAAAAGTCTCATTGCAGGAGCTGTAGTGTGGCACAGTAACACTTTATGCCATTTAGTTCATATATCTTTGCTTGCAATGTTCATTGCAGATACATTTGTCTGGTTGAGGTCTCTGGTTTCTGCTACACTAGCATACTTGGCCCTCACTGGGACTCCTCTTAGTTATCCTGTTGTTGCTCTGTGTTGTGGAGATCCTGAAACTTTGTATCTGCAGGGCCAGCCCCTTCATGCAACCCAGCAAACCACAGATAAGATGGATGGTGGAGCTGACCTACTCCTCCTAATCCTGGTTCTAGGGTTGGTCATCCTGCCAGACCATGAGGGTGCTCTCTCCCTCCCCAACATTGCCCTAACTTGTTCACCTTATATAGCAAGAAGCACGGGTTGAGTCTGATTCTGTACATATGGCTGGCCCACATGTACGCCAACAGAGCCACATCTACAGTGTTGCCTATGTGAGGCGCAGAGTCCGCTCTTCTGAGTGCTACTGCTGGAAAGGAGCAGGGACAGCTCTCAAGACCTCAGGGCCATCTTTCCCTCCTGTCACAGGCAGTGAGGGTGGCATCTGTCCCTTGGCCATACCACCATATGGCAGTTGAGGCATGGGACCAGATCTACCACACTCACATTCTGTCAGTCCTACTGCCCTCCCTTACACCCTGCCAGCTCTACTGTGCTGCCCAGGCAGGGTGTAGGGAGTGTTATCTTGAGTGTGAGTGGTAAGGGGCTGGGTCCACTTCCCCACTTACTGCAGGTGGTGTGTGGGGAGAGGAGAGCCAGGCTCTCCTCTTACACACGTCAGTCAATTCTGTGCAAGGGAATAGAGAAGAGGAAGTTGCCGTTGCAGAATTTTCAGCCTCTGTCCTCCCTGCATGGTTCTCTCGGTGAGTTGCATGGGATTGGGTGGGACAACATGTGTTCGTGAGTCTCAGGAGCAAGGTCCCTTTGTCTCCTGCTTTACATATTGGCTTACTTGCTCTCAAAGACCGCTGAAGAATTGATATGAAGCAGGAAAATATCATTTTATACAGCAAAACACGTTACATATCAAAGTATTGGGGGGCTTTGAAACGTTCTCAAGGAAGGAGTGGAACACAAAGTGTTACTTATTGGGTAAGGAGACTCCTATGACCCATCCAGGCCGGACAGATCAATAGAGGCGAAAGGATGACCTCAGGAGAGTGTGCAATGGAGGTGAATATGGAATTTGCATGTGGCTCTCTTGGGGATGATCGCGATGTCCAAAGTAGAGAGGGATAGTTTCCTGAATGTAGACATCCCTGAGCATCCAGTATTCTCACATTCTGTAAGTCTTTGTGCTCATCTGCCTTTCTTCCCAGGATGCATTGTTGTTTCTCACATCCCCTTGTAGATATGGGGACACAGATGTGTGATATCAGTGAGTCATTCCCACCACACTTTCATATAATTTTTACGTGTAACCTCATGATTACATCTCAATCTTATGGGCACACACATCTGTGGATAGTCAGGAAGCTGTATCCTAATTAATTGTATAATTTCATTGATCAGAAGTATACTAGGATATGCTTCAGAACTAGATCTATTGTTCTACTTATGCCCTGTTTTTTCATCATTGGCTCAAAGTGGCATAAAGAAAATGATTTCTACTCAGTTTTAAGACAAGCACACACAATTAATTGATT